TAGTAAAAATTGTCATATAGTAATTATTACCTTACAGTAATTCCTCTTCAATTTATTAATTTTTTTGAATTTACCATAAATTGAAATAAACTCGATATATAGGTATATAATATAAACAATATTTTCAATATTAAAACAATGGCCAATTTTGCACTAAAATTTAATATATTTCAATAAATGTGGTATTTTCACGCTCAACACATATTATATTCTCTCGAGAAACTTTTGAATATGATTTTAATAATTTTGATTAATGGCAAATTTTAACGAGTACAATGGAATTTTATTTGTATTTTAGCATATATATATATATATATATTGAAACATGTATATATACACACATATAAAGAAAATGTTTGAAATGTTTCATTGTTTATTTTCCCTTCCACTCGAATCGCCTTTCTCTCATTTTCACGAGAGCCAAACATTATTTAATATTTAACTTTAATATTTATTTTAATATTTTATAGTCACAATTATTTTTTTAAAATGGTTTTTATCGTCCAAATTTCGTTACAAATTTTGATTTATGTAAAAAATAAATATAATTGGGAAATTTAATTTTTGAATTCTGCAAATTTTGAGAATTATCATTTATATTTGGAAAAAAATTTTAATTTTTGGGGTATCATCAAATCGGGGGCTATTTTGAGACACCTCTGAGGTCAAGAGGAACGCATGCAAAATCCCCAAAGGCTATTTACCAAAATTTACATTTAACAGAAATACACGTGAGTGTGTGTGTGTGTATATAATCGAATTGTTCGTTAATCGAATTTGCATTTGACCGAATATTCTCGTTTAATACACACTATAGAAAATTTTCTTTTATACTATAAATTTTCAAATTATATGGAATTATATTGTCTTTTGACCGAGTTTTATTATATTTATTCAAAATTTTCATTATAAATTAACTTTTAATCCAAAAAAATATAATTGCTTTTTAAAATCGAATTTTCTACTTTTTGATCGATTCATTATTATAATTATAAATAAATTTTCATTATTAAACAATAATATTTTTGTAATTGAATTTCCATTTTAACACGTCCGTGAAGCTGGCCGGAACATACCGTAATATGAAAATATTCACTACATGAGAATTAAGGGCTCATTAAGGGCTAATTAGGGCTGTGTGTCTTGAATTTTGGGCTTTTGATTTATTTAAGGAAAATGACACCCGGCTAACTTCATATTGAAGCTGGCCGGAAACACGCATAGCTTCTATATTACTGCTCCAATTAACTTCTAAGTGGCAGAAACATTTAGGGTTCATTAAGCCCTTTAAGAATACACTATATTATTAGTTGAAAAGTTTCAGTTTTTTAAAAAAAGTCATGGTTCCGGCCTGCTTCACGTTGAAGCTGGCCGGAAACACGCATAACTTCTATGGCACTGCTCCTATTAACTTCTAAGTGGTTAAAAAATTTAGGGCTCATTCAGGATTACTAAAAAAACGCAATTTCTTATTCAGAGCACTACCATTTTATAAGAAATTTCTTCAATAAAGATTTTTATGAATTTTAAGGTTTCTATTGTAACCGATATTATGATACCCGCCGCTTCTTCAACATAAAATGATGTAATTTTAATTGTTTTATTATAAGCAATGTTCATGTACGTATACAGCAGTGCACTCAATGATGGTAAAGTGTGTTGCATGTGAATTTAATGTAAAATTTTGTATTTAAATAACGTTTTATTGGCAATTATAATTTGCCGTAAACGTGACATATAAATAAATTTTCGAAATTCGAAATGCTTTACAAGAAAATTAATCTGGTTTGAGATATTTCTCACTATTAAACTTCTAAGAGAAATACAAGTCTAGAAACAGGAGGTACAACTTCGGTAGTGGGGGTACAGGACAAATACGTAAGAGTATGGTCTTCTGAAATTAACCCTTTAACGACGAGATGTGCTGTTTTTAAAACATAAATTTCAAACGCCTACAATTTGTAGAAAGAAGCCATAAAATTTTTCAAAAGCCCTTATCTTACTATTTTTGGGGTCGCTCTTTCGAATGGCGTGGTCAAAATTTTCAAAAAATGATATATAACCCTTCTTTTTTTCAAAAATACTAAAAAAAGTCAAGTTTTTTGAATGCAATTTTTTTTTAAATAATTTTTTTCTCCCCCATAACATTTTTTAAATAAAACAAAAAGTATCAGAAACATGTTCCCAATAGTTGTACTTGGAAAATAGCCGTTTATAATTTTTATTTTTTTCGATTTTGGATTTAAAATGGCGCTTGAAGGACAAAAAAATTTCCTAATTTTACTTAAGATCACAAACTTTTTCAAAATTGCTCAAATCTGATTGAAATTTGTTACACGGAGGTTTTTGGGGTTGCTGATTACGAATCTGAAGTCAGATGCAAAAAATTCAAAATGGCGGACTCAATATGGCGGACGAATTTTTTAAAATTTACTCCGATTTGCTTGAAATTTGATACTCGGGAGTTTTTTGGGTCGCTGATTACGAATCTGAATTCAGTTTCAAAAAATTCAAAATGGCGGATCCAATATGGTGGACAAATTTTGTGAAATTCATAGAATTCTGTTGAAACTCGTTACTCGGAGGTTTTTGGGGTCGCTGATTACAAACCTGAAGTCAGATTAAAAAAATTCAAAATGGCGGATCCAAAATGGCGGACTAATTTTTTAAAATTGCTCAGATTTGCATGAAATTTGTTACTCTGGGGTTTTCGAGGTCGCTAATTAAGAATATGAATTCAGATTCAAAAAATTCAAATTGGCGGATCCAAAATGGTGGACAAATTTTGTGAAATTCATAGAATTCTGTTGAAACTCGTTACTCGGAGGTTTTTGGGGTCGCTGATTACAAACCTGAAGTCAGATTAAAAAAATTCAAAATGGCGGATCCAAAATGGCGGACTAATTTTTTAAAATTGCTCAGATTTGCATGAAATTTGATACTCAGGGGTTTTTTGGGTCGCTGATTACGAATCTGAATTCAGATTCAAAAAATTCAAATTGGCGGATCCAAAATGGTGGACTAATTTTTCAAAATTACTCAGATTTGCATGAAATTTGTTACTCTGGGGGTTTCGGGGTCGCTCATTAAGAATATGAAGTCACATTTCAAATATTCAAAATGACGAAATTATTATACTCTATTTATTGTGATTCTACCAGTAGCAAGTAATCTATATTTCACAATATATTTCAGAATCAAAAAGCTAACCACTGGAACTGCAGATATAAATAAATTGTTTAAAACTGATCTACCATAAAATCTTTACCATAAAATCTTAACCATAAAATCGCCGAAAAGGGGACTTGAAAAAATGCTAAATCGAAGTAGATTTAGCCTGAATATATTGGTCAATTTTCTTACACACCAAACTCTGGAAGGATTACTTTGATTTTCGGGTCTATGAAATTTTATTCTCGAAAATTATCGCGGGTCATTCAGATGCTATTGGTTCTGTTTTCAAATGTAGATCTTGAGACCAATAATCACGTTGAAGTATCCAATAAGTTGTAGTACTGTTCACTATATCAAACTTATGTCTCAGGCTCAGCATAATTTCATTAAAATTTTTTTTTCTGTTTATATTATTTTCCATGAAACTCATAATCAGATTTTAATTTTCTTGAGAGTTGTAATTTTTATACAAGTTACTATATAATACAGCATTTTGCAAAAAGTCAAAACGATCTTCAGACTTTTAAATATCTTATTCAAATATCAATATTTTCATCGACTAAAAAGTAAATGATCACAGTTCATTTGTTTGTCAAACCTCAAAATTTTCATCGACTAACAAGTGAATAATCACGGTTCATTTGTTATTGCTAATTAATGGCTATGTTCATAGTTTTGTGAAAAATAATTTGACAGTTCTTTTACACAATGCCGTCGAAGAGAAGATCAGATTCTTTGCCTGCTAAAAGTATTCCGCTAAAGCATTCTCGCATCAAAACGAATGATTCGACATCTGCTAAAACTATTCATTCAAAAAAAATGTTTCAAATAATCATCGCAAAGATTCAAATTTTTCGAAACGCGATTCATTGGTAGTTGAATATGAAGAGACTGAAAATTTTGTTAATGCCAACATCATTCCATCTGCTGATGACTCTGGTGAATCGGATTTAGAAGATACCCTAGATGAAAATGTTCAGTTTGAATCTGATATTTCTGAGTCTGAAGATGGTTCTGATTTTTTGCAAAAGGCCATATCATATGACAACGTGTATGAAAATTACGACAACTGTCAAAAAAAATTAGAAGCTGATTATGTGTTTGATTGGAAACAGGGTGAGTGTAAGCAGAACAAAACTTTTAATAACGAGATTATGCTGAGCCGAAAACATGAGTCTGATATAATAAACAGTACTCCAACCGAGTTGTTTGAATACTTCTTTTCAACGGAACTGAAAAATCATATTATCAACTGTACGATAAAAGTGTCCATGAGATGTCAGTTACTGAATTAGAAGTTTTCATTGGCATAATAATATTTACAATGTATAACCAAAGATTGTCTCAACGGGATTATTGGTCTCAAGATCCACATTTGAAAGCAGAACCAGTGGCATCTGCAATGACACGCGATAATTGAGGAGCCGGATCGTAGAACCGATTCTTCGCTCTCTCCGGAGTCCCTCAAGTGAGCCAGCTTTCAGCTGCGCGGGGGACTTGCGCATTAGTGAAGAATCGGTTCTACGATCCGGCTCCTCAATTTTGAAAACATAAAATCAAAAATAAAATTCCACGAACCCGAAGATCAAAATAATGCTGACAGAGAATGGCGTGTAAGAAAATTGACTGATATATTCCGGAGCAATCTAATTCGATTTGGCATTTTTTCAAGTTCACTATCCATCGACGAGATGATGTTAAGATTTTATGGAAGGTCAGTTTTGAAGCAGTTTATAAAAGGTAAACCAGTAAGGTTTGGAATAAAATTATGGGCTCTCTGCAGTTCCAATGGTTACCTTTTTGATTTTGAAATATATTGTGGCAAAATGGACAATAAAAGTGAAAAATTAGCAAACTGTACTCTTGGTAGTCGTGTTGTTATAAATATGTTACAAGTCGTTTTCCGTAATGTACATCTGCGTAACCGAGAAGATCTGCACATTTATTTTGACAATCTCTTCACTAGTCCGGATCTTCTAGTTCATTTGAAAAAATATGGATTAGTTGCTACTGGTACAGTCAGAGCAAATAGAGTCAATATCAAGAATGCAATCACAGAGAAAGATGAAAGAGGAAAATGGGAAGTGAAACACGAAAAAAAGAGTGGCCTAAATTTCATAACTGTGATGGACTCCAAACCAGTTTCTTTATTATCCACTGCAGCTGGAGTAACGCCACTGGGAAAAGTAAAACGTCGTCAGAAAGGCAAGAAAGAAAAAAAAGAATTAGATTTTCCGAATGCGTTTATGCTGTATAATCAGTTCATGGGTGGCGTTGATTTACACGATCAACGATGCAATGCAATAGAGCCAATTATAAGATCGAAGAAATGGACGTGGATAATTTTTATTCGAATAATCCAATCAGCAATTGCTAATTCCACGATTTTATACAATCTTTTTCATGAAAAAAAAGAAAGTACAAAATTTTTGGCTATGTGCATCAGTAAAGATTATTTGAGCAAAGCAAGAACGGGGAAGTCGTCAGTACATGAGACAGAAAAACAACATTTACCTCGATACTGTTGCACCTCAAAATGCAAAATCCGAACAAGAAAATACTGCAAAACCTGCAAGTTGTTTTACTGCGACAATTGCTTCAAAAAAACGCATAGCACAAATTAAAAGTTTTTAATAAAAAGTTGAAAAAAGTGCATTATTAAATTGAAAAAACAAAAAAAAATTATAAAACAAAGCAAAAAACAAAAAAAAATTAAAAATCACTGAAATAATACAAAAAAAATGATTCTCTATATCGCCTACCTCCTCGTGGTGAGAATCGGGCAACTTTAATTCTTTAAAGGCTTAAGGCGACTTCATATTCTTAATTAGCGACCTCGAAAACCCCAGAGTAACAAATTTCATGCAAATCTGAGCAATTTTAAAAAATTAGTCCGCCATTTTGGATCCGCCATTTTGAATTTTTTTAATCTGACTTCAGGTTTGTAATCAGCGACCCCAAAAACCTCCGAGTAACGAGTTTCAACAGAATTCTATGAATTTCACAAAATTTGTCCACCATATTGGATCCGCCATTTTGAATTTTTTGAAACTGAATTCAGATTCGTAATCAGCGACCCAAAAAACTCCCGAGTATCAAATTTCAAGCAAATCGGAGTAAATTTTAAAAAATTCGTCCGCCATATTGAGTCCGCCATTTTGAATTTTTTGCATCTGACTTCAGATTCGTAATCAGCAACCCCAAAAACCTCCGTGTAACAAATTTCAATCAGATTTGAGCAATTTTGAAAAAGTTTGTGATCTTAAGTAAAATTAGGAAATTTTTTTGTCCTTCAAGCGCCATTTTAAATCCAAAATCGAAAAAAATAAAAATTATAAACGGCTATTTTCCAAGTACAACTATTGGGAACATGTTTCTGATACTTTTTGTTTTATTTAAAAAATGTTATGGGGGAGAAAAAAATTATTTAAAAAAAAATTGCATTCAAAAAACTTGACTTTTTTTAGTATTTTTGAAAAAAAGAAGGGTTATATATCATTTTTTGAAAATTTTGACCACGCCATTCGAAAGAGCGACCCCAAAAATAGTAAGATAAGGGCTTTTGAAAAATTTTATGGCTTCTTTCTACAAATTGTAGGCGTTTGAAATTTATGTTTTAAAAACAGCACATCTCGTCGTTAAAGGGTTAATTTCAGAAGACCATACTCTTACGTATTTGTCCTGTACCCCCACTACCGAAGTTGTACCTCCTGTTTCTAGACTTGTATTTCTCTTAGAAGTTTAATAGTGAGAAATATCTCAAACCAGATTAATTTTCTTGTAAAGCATTTCGAATTTCGAAAATTTATTTATATGTCACGTTTACGGCAAATTATAATTGCCAATAAAACGTTATTTAAATACAAAATTTTACATTAAATTCACATGCAACACACTTTACCATCATTGAGTGCACTGCTGTATACGTACATGAACATTGCTTATAATAAAACAATTAAAATTACATCATTTTATGTTGAAGAAGCGGCGGGTATCATAATATCGGTTACAATAGAAACCTTAAAATTCATAAAAATCTTTATTGAAGAAATTTCTTATAAAATGGTAGTGCTCTGAATAAGAAATTGCGTTTTTTTAGTAATCCTGAATGAGCCCTAAATTTTTTAACCACTTAGAAGTTAATAGGAGCAGTGCCATAGAAGTTATGCGTGTTTCCGGCCAGCTTCAACGTGAAGCAGGCCGGAACCATGACTTTTTTTAAAAAACTGAAACTTTTCAACTAATAATATAGTGTATTCTTAAAGGGCTTAATGAACCCTAAATGTTTCTGCCACTTAGAAGTTAATTGGAGCAGTAATATAGAAGCTATGCGTGTTTCCGGCCAGCTTCAATATGAAGTTAGCCGGGTGTCATTTTCCTTAAATAAATCAAAAGCCCAAAATTCAAGACACACAGCCCTAATTAGCCCTTAATGAGCCCTTAATTCTCATGTAGTGAATATTTTCATATTACGGTATGTTCCGGCCAGCTTCACGGACGTCATTTTAACATATAAAGCGCGTTTGACTGAAATTCCATATAGCCGTAATTTTATTACCGTTTTGTTATTAAATTTAAGATTTCAAGGTTTTTTTTTAAATAAAAAAATAAATTCAGTGAGAATTCAAGATTTTTAAATTTGAAAATCATAGTAAAGTAATAATAATAATATTAATAATAAAAGTAAATTTTCGGGACGAGAGAATGTGGTAAAATGTAAATATTTAATTACTATAATTTAAGTTATAAAATTAACTTTTATATTATGTATTTTAGACCTAGAGAGCTAATATTTGGTACAAAAATAAATCTCTACTTGTAATTTCGAGAAAAAAAATATCCAACTTGTTTTTAAAATTGATTTTAACATTAAAAACATTTTTAATAGTATATTTAATATATTTATAAAATAAAAAAGAACTCTGACCTATTTTCTATATGAAATATTATAGTACACTTGCGTATATTTTTACGATTTGAAAAAAAAACTTCCATTGATTTACGGTATACTCAATTATTAATGTCAAAAATTACTTTCAAAACACACAGACAATACACTATATTGACCTAGTTTATATAAATAAAAAAATAGGGAATTTTTGATTATTATCAGCTATTGATTATTATATATATATAATTTTTATAAAAGTCATCAAGATATTATAAAGAAAAAAAATTTACTTATTTTTTTCTCTAGGGAGAAAAATATATTTGCCCCTAGGGGGTGAAAAAAAACTAAATATACAGTATTTATATTTTTATATAGTATAAGGACAAAAAAAAAGAAAGTATTTCTATATCCTGCTCAAAATGGAAAAAGAAGGAAAAAATAAAGGTATATGTAACGTCTCTATTGTGTTGATTATATTGCTTTGGTAAGCTTTCGCTCCTCCCCCCCCTCTCTCTATATATATATCTTGCTCTCTTTGGCCTTTAGTTCAAAGAACTTTGATGTCGATGCAACATGTGTGCTATTGCCGATGCAGCATTGTTCTATGGAGCGAAAAGTTGCTATCGCAATATCTGCAGTTAAGCCTTCTAACGCGCTCAAACTTTACTGTAATAACAACATTTTCTAAATCCTACAATGTATTTTATATTTTACATTTTATGTTCTATACAAATTTTCATTTCAACTTTTTCATTTAACTAAATTTTATATTAAGCTTATTCCTCCACAAAAAAATAATTTAAAAAAAAGATTAAATTAGGTCAAATAAGAATTAGGTTCAATAAAAAATTAGGCCAAATAATAATTAGGTTTAACAAAAATTTGGCTAAATAATGTTTTGATCAAGCATTACTTTAACCTAATTCCTACTTGGTCAAAACATTATTTTGTCTAATTTTTGTTAAACCTAATTTCTATTTGGCTTAATTTCTATTTTGGCCCAATTTTTATTAAACCTAATTCTTATTTGGCCTAATTTAAACCGAATTCTAATTAATTTAATCTACTTCTCCTTTGGCCTAATTTTAATTTAGCCTAATCGTCATCGGTCTAATGTTATTCAAAACCCAAATGGAAAATTTTTAAAATTAAATTACTTTTATTATTATAACCTATTATTATTGGCTTATACAATTATTGGCAGGAAAATTCTGAATAAAATTAAAAGAAAATGATGACAAAGCGTTTAAGTATTTAATAAGAAAATAAAATCGCAAAATTGAATCTGAAATTACGAAAAAAAAAAAAAAAATGAGGGGGAAAAAAACTAAAGAGAGACACTATGGGTCTTTATAGATGGATGGAATCTGAGTAAAGTCTAAGCTCTCGGCTGGAAAAATCATTTTCGAAATGACTAAAAGGAAATCCAACGACAATCTTTTTCAAAGCAATGGTAAGCTCTTTTCTGACTCTTTAAAGAAAATCGATCGTAAGTGAGCGTGAGATAAAAAGCTCACTTATAAAGTAAGTAATGGACGATCTTGGAGTAAGGGAGAAAAAGAAAGAGAGAGAATGAGAGAGAGGGGGGGGGGGGCAGTGAAAAAAACTGAACGAAAGACAAGACGGATAAACCCTTACAGTTTCTTACAAGAGACAAGAGTTAGATAAACTTATTGTATGTGCGGGTTTTTTTAAATAAAAAAGGGGGATGTTCTTTGAAGATAATTTTTAAATAAAAATTTAACGAAAACTGATGTTTATCTTAATTTAAATTTCGATTAAATAGAATTTATATTATAATCGTAAATAAAAAAAAAATTTAACGTAAAGTTAAATAAAAAACCTAACCTTACAGGTTTAGGTTACCTAAACTTAATTCTAATTAATTTAATCTAATTTCTATTTGGCCTAATCATCATCGGCCTAATGTTATTAAAAACCAAATGGAAATTTTTAAATTAAATTACTTTTATTACTATAACCTACTATTAATATTTACTATTTAGGTTATCTAAACCTATAACCTTTTTAAATCTAAATACCTAACTATAAAAAATAGATTTGAATTCGTTATAAATAATAATTTTTTGTATTATATAAGAAATGAAAAAAGAAGTTTTAAATTTCAAATCCGAAGAAAATTTTTATATGAAACTAGAACCACTTGAAATTTTGTATAATAAATCTTATATGAAGGTAGTCATGTCTCGTTCCATTGTTATCTTATACCGTGTATCATGCGAATAAAAATAATAAATCGAAAAAAGAATAAGGAATCGAAAAAAAAATTTACCTGGAATTGATTTTCAAGAAAATAAATTCTTGGAATTGTATCTGGCTTTCTATATATATATATATTTATCGGAGGACTTGATTTCTCTTCAGTATAATTGAGATACTAGTAAACAAAGGATGAGACGACAAGACCAGAAGAAAAGAGTACAAAACTGGAGAAAATATCGAAGAGAGAGAGAGAGGGGGGGAGGGGAATTCATCGATGAGACGACGAATGAAGCGGAACACATTCTCCAATCATTTGGAAGATAATTTGAGATGATCAGTGAAATGTGTAGTAGAGAAAATAAAACAAAAAAAAAGAACTTTTTTGAATTAAAAAATAAACCAGTTTTTTTTAATCAGTAAATCGACTTTAATATTCACATGAAGGGAGAGAGAGAGGGTTTATATCATTTAATTATTATGAAACGAACTCTTTTCTTTTCGAATAAATTTTTTTTTTTCAATTAAAAAAAAAGAAAAGAAAAAAAAACTGGATCAAGTTTTTCGAGATAATTATAATCTGTCAACGATTGACCCACAATCGTCTTGTTATGATGACCTTTTACTTTTTTTTTTTTTGTAATTACACGAAAAAGAGGAAAGAAAAAAAAAGTAATGTACATCTAAGAGAAAAAGAGAAAGAGAGAAGAGGCTGGTTTTTAAAAATAGAAGAAACAATTGCATCAATATTTTAAAACCAAAGAGTGCGGTCACTATTGGAAATTTAACTTTCAACCTTGACGCAGTTATTTTAGAACTTTGATTGAAAGTTCTTTGTGATTGACATTTGGACAATTGTATTTCCATTTTTCTTTAATTAACTCCCTCTTTCTCCTTTTTTCTCTTATTATCAAAATAGAAGCAAAAATAAATTTTATAAAGTTAAAAATAATTTTTCTTCTATTTTATTTTTATTATTTTTTATTTCTTATTATTTTTTGAAAATTGTTTGGATTTCTTATTCTTTTAATAAAGTTGTTTCGTTTGTTCGTATATAAATACAGATTTATTTGTAATTTTTAAAAAAAATATTACATTCACCCTTTAGAAGTTGAGCAGAAAATTTAAAATTACAAAAATTACTGTTATATAAAAATTTTTAATAATTATTTTAAATTATTTTTATTACTCAATTTAAAACATAAAACATTTGTTGAAATTAAAAAATTTAAATAAAAAATTAAATTAATTTAATTAAATTTCAACAAATTAAATTTGTTAAATTATTATATTTTGAAATTTTTAAATTATTATTATAAATTTTTAAAAAAGTACCAAGTAATTGAATTATAAAAAAATTTCATTATTAGATAATTAAATGTTTCATTAATTAAAATAAAATTATTTGTTTTAATTGTATACTTTTTTTAATAATTAAATTTTGTAACTAATTAATTTTCTATCAAATTATAATGAATTGATAATTAAAAATTAATTTAAAAATCAATGAAACTTTTTTTCTCATTTAAAAAAGAATCCTTTTTTTTTAATAAAGAACAATATTACAAAAACTTTAGTGTTTTATTGTTTTTGAAAGAAGAAAAAAAAATATTAGCGAAGGTGCTTTTAATGGTAAAAGTACATCATTAATTTCTCCGCATGTGATAGTTGAAATCATTAATCTTGACGTCCCGCCAAAACGACGTTCGAAAGAAAAATAACGCCGCACTTTTCGAAATAAAAATATTTATCTACATATATATCAGCACTAAAATATTACCGCGTTAAAATACATATTTAGGGAAAAAAGTATTTTTTAAAAAAAAAAACAGTTCCTTTTTTTCGATACTAGATTTTCAATAAAAAAAATTTTGATTTCATAAAAAAAAACAAATTCATTCAATTTACATTTTAATGTACTATTTTTATAACTATTATATTTTATTATTATAAAAATAGTAAATTTATATTATTTTAAATAAAAAGAAAATAGTAAATAAAAATAATAATCGAAAAAAAAAATTAATTTTCAACTTGAAACTATTTTTTTTTTTATTGGAAAATCAATGAGAAAACTCACCGGGACGCTGCTTTGAAAATGTGATGGAAATACACTTAACCTTCTCCACACAACGACAGAAACACAACTGATAAGTAAATCAAATCGTGCTCCCGATTGGTGTTTCGAGTCTAGACCACAAGGCGTCTGCTCGAGATATTGTAGCAGTGTTGGGTCGTTATAGATTTGACAAAAAGTAGAAGATTAACAATGAGAGAGATAGAGACGGATATAAAATTTCGACCTTGTTACACTTATGGGACAACGTAGTCATGTAAACGCAGCCTAAGAAATTAGGAGCCAATGTTTACATGCTTGCGTTCCAACCCTGGGGGCAGAAATCGAAAGAAATTTATAGGTTATGTTTCCTTGTCAAAATAAAGTTTTTCATTAAAAAATATATAAATGTGTATAAAAAATTAATATATTTAAAAAAAATTAACAATGGACGACTCAGGGAAAATTGTCAAAACAATAATTCACGCTGGAACAAAAGCAGTTCCATTTGTTCCCGGAACAAAAGTAAGATAAAAATAAATTCGCTAATAAATAAATATATAATAAAATAAAAAATACGCCTTTTTTAATTATTTTATATAAATAAATTTCTTTTTTGTAAAAATTAACTTTTGGTTTTGTAAAATAGCAATTATAAAATAAAAATGATTAAATTCTATTATCACAGGAAAATATTAAAAATATATAGATTTCAAAAAGGATATTTTTCTTTTAATTTAAAAAATTTTAATTGTATTTACCATATTTGCAGGCTAAATTAAATAATTTATTAATTTTATAGTAGGATTCAGTATAAAATAATTTGTTATTAATAATAATTATTTATTAATTTTAATTCGTTAATTAAATTACTTTAATATAGTAAGGCCAATAATTAAATAACTTAATTAATTAATGACCTTATTATTATAAATAATTTAATTAACCAAATAACAATAATAAATAATAATTATTTAATAAATTATCCTATGTGAGATACCATACAGGATTAATAAATAAAATAATAAATTGTTAAATATAGAATTAAATGTAAAGGATCCTTTTTTTAAATTAATTATAATTATAAATTATTTTTTTCAGGTTGTTTTTCATTTTAAAACAACAAAATGCAATAATGAGAAAACAGTTATTGATGATAGCAAATCAATGGGTAATGCAATGGAATTAGTTTTAGGAAAGAAATTTAAACTCGAAGTGTGGGAAGTGATTGTACAAAAAATGGCTCTCAATGAAGTTGCTTCCTTTCGTGTTCACAGTAGTGTAAATATTTCAAATTTAATTCTATTTTTTAACAACAAAAATGATTATTTCTATTAATTAATTTTAAAAAAAATTATTTCTTTTTATATACATGAAATAATCAATCAATACTTTAATTTTTATTTAATTTGCTCTAGCTAGTCACATCATATCCATTTGTATCGAAAACATTACGAGAAGTTGGCAAACCCGGAAAACGTAATCATCATTGTTGTGGTGTGACATTACAAAATGAAGGAATTGGTTATGATGATTTAAATGAGCTCATAAAAAATCCCCAGGATCTCGAATTTATAATTGGTAATTTATTATTTAATTTATAATTCAAACAATTTATTTTTAATTAATAATTAATTTAATTCATATTTTAGTTTAGAAATTAATTTCATTTCAGTAAATTGAATTTTTTTTTTTAAAGAAATAATTTTTATTTAAAGATTAAAAAAAAAGAATTATGTTTTAGAATTAACATCCGTCATACCGCCCAGTGATTATGAAAAAGAATCGTGGCAATTAACAGAAACGGAAAAACTAAAATCGATTCCCGATTTAAAGGAGAAAGGAAATTGTTTTTTTAAAGAAAAAAATTATGAGACTGCTGCTGATACTTATGCAAAAGCTATTTCATATTTGGAACAATTAATGCTCGCGTGAGTCTTAATTTTTAATTTCCTTTTGCATGTAGGGGAATTTTTTTTTTTTTTTAAATAAATTGTATTAATAAAAAAAACAAAATTTCAGGGAAAAGCCGAATGACAAGGAATGGATAGAATTGAACGATATGAAACTTCCGTTACTATTAAATTTTGCCCAATGCAAATTATTTTTAAAAGAATACTACTCTGTAATTGAACATTGCACAACCGTTTTAAAATACGATCCAAGTAAATGTATTTAAAATTAATTTTTTTTCCAACTATTCTATTTAAAAAAATTTTTAATTTAAAGAATATTTTTTTGTTTTTTTGTTTAGAAAATGTAAAAGCATTTTACAGAAGAGGAAAGGCACACATTGCAATATGGAACGAGAAAGAAGCAATGGAAGATTTAAATCGAGCAGTAGAATTAGATCCATTGTTACGAAATACAGTCGAAAAAGAATTACAATTATTTTCCGATGCCATTAAAGAAAAAGAAAAAGTTGAGATGAAAAAACTTTCTCAAATGTTTTGTAAATAATAATAATATATGTTAAGTTTATATTTTTTTTCGTTTTCAATAAATTTGACATAATTGTATTTGAAATATTAAAATAAATTCTATTTCATAATTGCTAAATTTTTTATTATATAAATAAAAATTCGAAAAAATATTTTGCCAATTTTTTTTCGTGAATCAAAAAATCTAAATCGTTTATGTCTATATATGTGGTTACCTAATTGCCTTACTATTACAAATATTTCAATTAATTAACAATAATTGTTCATTTTAATTTTTCAAATGAAATAATATAGTTAAAAGCAATTATATGAGTTTTAATTAAAAAAATATTTGCAAGGTCAACAGATTTTTAACAAAAAAAAAAAATTACAATAAGTTGTTGATAATACAAAAAGAAATACATGAAAATAAACAGTATAGGATGAAAACAGAAATTCGTGGAAATAATATAATATATAATATAATATAATATAATATAATATAATATAATATAATATAATATAATATAATATAATATAATATAATATAATATAATATAATATAATATAAAAATTATATATTATTGTATATTATTTTGTATGCATATTATTATTAGTATTATTATTATTCCATATATACTATATTATAATAGATAATACATAATAGATAAGTTTAAATTAATTGAACAATTTTTTTTCATGCGACACGACATATTTATGCAGAATTATCGTGTCGTGGCAAGTCATGATACGATACGATTCTCAAATTGTTAATGTGTCTAGTCGCGCCACGATACTTTTGGAAATTCGTAAACGTGTCCAGTCCTGCCACGATACGATTACAAATTTCTAAACGTATCGTGCTTCGCCACGATACAATTATGAATTTCTTAACTGTGTCGGGTCGTGCCACGATACGTTTGAAAATTTTTAAAAGTGTTGGGTCTCGCCACGATACTTTTAATTTTTTTCAAACGTGTCGAGTCGCGACACTACACGGACACTTTCTTAAAATTCAACAACATTTCGTGTCCGAGACAGTCCCTGGTTTTTTTTCTTAAATTGCCCATATAAATCAAAACTAATAATTATTGTAATTACATCAACTTAACGGGATCTGTATTTTTATGAAAATATATTTTTTCCCCTTCTTTAGTTCGTTACGGCCTCGCTTCATGATTCTCACCTAGAAAGTAACTCTCAGTTGTCTATACATACTTCAATAGAATGCAGTATATTGCATTCGGATGCAATGGTTTATAAAACATATTTTTAGCAAAAAAAAAAAAAACGCAGAAAATTTCGCGTATTTTTAATAATTTTTTTTTATAAAAAAACAATTAAATTAAAATAAAAATTTTTACTACACAGCAGAGAGTGAGTGAACAATAAATAGTTTTTCTTCTTCATTTATCTTGTAAGAATCAAGTTACCGCGAATTACAATTAAAAGTATAATGAGTCACTTGATGATGTGCTCTAGTTAATAATTTAATACAATACAAAAAAAATTCTCTTCTATATCGTGAAACATAATTTTATAAAACATAACTTCAAAAACAAATTATTTTAAATTAAAAATATTTAACAATTCAAGATCAAATACAATATAATTTTTTTTTAAAATTAAATATTCTATTTTAAATGGTGAATGAATGTTAAATTCTATTTTATTTATAAATTCATATTTTTTTCATTCTTATCAAGTTGAGCTAGTAAATTTTTTGTCATTATCTACTGTTATATTTAAAAGAAAAATTAAGTGATAATATTATTACAGGTAAGCTGTGTAGCTTTCTTTAAAGGATAATTTGTTGTTAACAATTATTATTCATTATTTTTAATTAATTAATGGCCTCATTATTACAAATTATTAAATTTACATTACTAATTAATATTAATAAACAATAATTGTTAATAACAAATAATCATTTATAGAATCCTACACCAGTAAGTAATCCTTAACGGAATTTCTAGTGGGACATCGTTTAATTAAAATTTTTTTAAATATTTTAATAGGAACTTAAAAAAAAGTGACATCAACTTCAGTTTGTATATGAAATGCCTATCAAATTTCTTATTAATCTAGAACAGATTACACAGCAAACTGTACAGTGAATTAATTGTAAAAGGAATATATTCATCATCAAAAATGTAGAGAAGAAAAATTTTTAACAAAAAATCTTCAATTAAATTATTATTATTAACGATGAACTGGAAGAAAATTATATTTCTAACAAGTGTTTCATTAATTCTCCTTTATTATTTAATATTATTTTTTCAATTAATAAAGGAAAATTTTTATTTTCGTACTAAATTAAAACATGTGAATATAAATAATTTATTTATCAACGATTCATCGACAAAAACAATTCTTTTTTGGAATTCAATGTTTGGTGATAAAAATTTTTATTTTAATCCCAAAAATAATCGTCTTGATAATTGTTCTTCAAATGAAAAAAAATGTCTATTCACTAACAATAGAGATATAATGAATGAAGAATTATTTGATGCTATATTATTTCATGGAATACATGATTTAAATATTAATGATTTACCAATAAAAAGATCATTATATCAACATTATATATTTGTTAGTCTTGAAAGTCCAGCAAATCGACAAGTACTTGATTTATTTCCATCAAAATATTTTAATTTAACAATGAGTTATAATTTAAAAAGTGACATAATTTGGCCATATTCGTATATTATAAATAAAGTGAATCAATTAATCGTTGCACCGAATTTAATAGTCAACTGGAATACATCGTATGAAGGTATTTTATGATTCAATATACTTATATTGTATATTTTGAAAGTAATAAATTTCTTTAATATTGGCTCATGAATTTAAGAAGACTTAAATTGTCCATTAAATTTTTATGCATTAAATATTTTTAAAACAAAATTTCAAATATAATAATTTATTTCTACTTAAAAAGTTTTTAGTATATTGGCCACTAAAATCTGTTGTTTATATTTTAGAAGACAATAAAGAAGATGAGAATATGAAGAAAACAATAAATAATAAAATAAATATGGCAATATGGTTTCGAAGTAATTGTAATACAAAAAGTGGACGAGAAAATTATGTGGAAGATTTAGAAAATTATATAAACATTGATAAAATTGGCAATTGTCTATTTGGCGATAAAAAATGTTCAAGAGAAAAAAATTGCTTTGCTGATATTGTTGAACCAAATTATTATTTCTATCTTTCCTTTGAGAATTCTTTATGTCAAGATTACGTTACTGAGAAATTTTTCAATGCTCTTCAGTAAGTATTTTATTTTTTGAAAATTTTGTAAGTACTATAAAATTAATCAAAACTTTTTTTTTTTTTTTAGATATAATGTGGTACCAGTGGTTTATGGTGCAGCAAATTATAGTAATTTTGCACCACCCCATTCCTATATAAATGCATTAGATTTTGATTCACCAAAAGAATTGGCAAGCTATTTAATAAATTTATCAAAAAATCGTTCAGAGTACGTTAAATACTTTCGTTGGAAAAAATATTATGCAGTTGAAACATCAAATGATAAAGCAATTTGTGATTTGTGTGATTTACTTCATAAAACGAATAATGAGAAAATTTATAAAAATATTTTTGCTTGGTATAGCGACAATCAATGTCCGATACAAAAGAAATTTAATTTACAAAAAGAATCAGGTGGTTTACTTTATGTGACAAAAAAAATATTAAATTAATATTTTATTTACTGATTAATATGAATTTTTACTATTAAATATTATTATTTTAATATTTATTTGTATTTTTATTTATCTCCGACGTATATCTATGACTTTAATTTCTAAATTATTTTATTTTTTTAGTCTCAAAAATTATTTAAAAATAAATCTTAAAAATTAATTTAGTTTTCCTTTATGAAGAAGAAAACAATATACACACAATATAATAATTAAACAATACATAAACAATGAATATGGAAATAATGTAATTTAATATATTTTACCTGTGAAAAACTAACAATGTTTTTTTGGCACCTTCTTCCTTTGTTGTTTTTTTATATTCTGCTCAGTTACAAATGTACACTCATAAAATCATTTAATTACTTTTTTTTCATTTACTGAACGCGAGAAATTTACTTTATAATATGTAACGAAATATTGAGAAAATACTATCGAACACTAATTATTATTTACTAAAAGAAAAAAATGACGATAAATGTAAAACTATATTTTGTCATAGCGACAATAAATACGTTGAGTAAAATTCTCTTGAATTAAAGCGGGATACAAGAACACGAACGATGGAAAACTAGGTTGATTCAACAAAGTACGTGCAAGAAAGGTTCGTTCATGGGAAGTAGTTCCAGGGATAGGTAGAGTGGAACGTTTGAAATATGACATACTATTGTCTATAGTAAATTATTTCAAGCTGTGTTCACAATGGACTTTTTATATATTTTTTTTACCTATTATTACTATTATTATTATTAATTGCTAATAATATTATTATATTATTATTTTGTTAGTATTATTATTATATTATAATTATTATTATAACATAACGAATAAAAGTAGAAATTAATTAATTAAATAGAAATAAAATAGAAATTAATTGTGTTTAAGTAATTTTTAATTATGAAACTAGAATAATGAATAATTTTAAGAAAAAATATCGATTAATATATATATATTGTATTACCTATCCAGGGATGGGTAGAGCGAAACGTTTGAAATGTGACACTATTGCTAGGGATGAATTATTTTAGGCTGTGTTCACAATGGACTTTTTAATATTATTTGTTTTACTTTTTCTATTATTATCATTATTATCATAACATAACAAATAAAAAATAATTAATTAAATAGAAATAAAATAGAAATCAATTGTTTTTAAGTACTTTTAATTATAATAAGGAAAAAATAATAAACAATTTAAGAAAAAATATCGATTATAATGGATAAATTTTCTAATTTTTTTTTATTTTATTTTAATTATTATAAATTATTGTCGATTTTTCGTTTTTAACTGCACAGGGGAGATTTTTTTTAAATATTTAATCGTCATTCCAGTCGTCGCATCTCTAAAATTAAGAAAACAATATTTTTATTTTTTAACAATATTAAATTCAAAAACAAAATTACCATCTTCACTAATTATTCAAATTATTTAAATATTAAATAAATTATTTTTATTTATATATTTATTATTATTCTTATTTTTATTATTGTAAATTCGTGAAAATAAATTTTTAAAAATAAATAAATTATTGTTATAAAAATATTTATATAATATAAAAAAATATTTATTTATTTATTTTTTTGTTTATAAATATAAATTAACAAACCTCACGTCCTTTATCAGATAGACAAGTGAGTAAATTTTGTGAAAATTTACATTTGTCTTGATTTCGATTATTTTGCAAATATTGAAAACACTCGTAAATTGATTCTTCAACAAAATCACTTAATTCCGGATCCATTATATTTTCCGTCATTATTTCCGTAACGGAGCTCATTTCCGGAAATCCACGTTGATCTACCTTTTAAGGGAATTTGAAAAAAAAATTTTTAATTACACTTTTAAAAATAATAATTTCTTTTTTTAAACACTTTTTTCAAATAGTTTGCTTTAATTTTTTATTTAAATTAAAAATAAAAAAAATTAATTATCGATAAATTTTTTTAATTACATACCAAATTCAATTCGTTGAAAAAACACTGAATAACGCACTGCAAATGAAAAATAATAGCGCAAAATTATTAATTAAAAATTTCTTTTTTTCTTTTCATGAAATTATTATAATAAATTATTATTACTATAATATTTTATTCTTTTTATTTTATTTAATTTACTTATTTATATTTTTTTTATTAAAAAAAAAAATTTATGTAAATAGAAAAAAAATCTTACAACTGATTTTTGATTCTCGTGTTCTTGATTAAAATAACTAGTGTTATTTTGTGAATTTCTATTACGATTTAATATTTTATTTTTATCACCATAAAAACGTTGATCCATGTTATTTTCTCGAAAATTTAATTTTTGATCATGTCTTTTTTGTCTCATTCCAAATCTTTCTCTAAAATTAATTAAATTTTTTTTTATTTAATTCATTTATTATTTTTAATTTTCAAAATTTCGCACCTAAATATTTTTCAAATTTCGCGCCAAATATTTTGTTGAATTTAGCGCGAAATTTAAATTTATCAACATTTTTTTTCTACAATAAATATAACTAAGTACATTTTTTTTTTATATAGTTACCGATAATTCGATCCATTTTTATTGGAATGACTATTTTTTCGATTAATATTACCAGATAAAATTTTTTTTTCAAATAAATCTTCATTTGAATCCGATTCATTGGAATCTGAATCCGAATTTGAATAATCTCCACTTCTTCCATTGTGTGAATTTCGTCGTCGACAAATTTGCATCACTTTTCGAAATTGTTCGTTCGTTTGACGATTGCCCGTACGACATTTTAGAGCCTAAAATTAATTTTGATTTTTTTTAAATTCGTTTTTAAATTTTTAATTTATTTTAAAATTTATTTTCTAATTTATTTTGTATTTCGTTTTTAATTTTTTTTTATAATTAATTAAAAGAATATTTTTTAACCATTTTTTTTACTAAAATAAATTTATTTTAATGATTAATTATTATTATTTTAATTGATTTTATTTTACTAAAATTTTGAAATTTTTTTTTTAAATTTAAAAAAAAATTTCTTATTACTAAAATAAATTAATTTTAATTATTAATATTATTATTATTTTAATTAATTTTATTTTTCAATATAAAACGATTTTTGTTTAATAAAAATAAAAAATTTACCAAATTTTTATGAATTAATAAAATGAAGCTGAGGAAAAATAATAAAAAACAAATTTTCATTATTAATAATATACACAGATTTTTTTGACTTATTTGAAATGAAAAGAATTTTTTTTTAATTTTTCGTTATTTATAAGCTGAAAAAAATTTTTTTTTCTTCTTTTTTTTTTAATTGCAAATAATTAAATTATATCTCAATTATTTTTTGATGTTTGCGAGTGACAATATAATGAGCCACACAGACGATGAATTGAAAATACCGGAAACTTTTTCTTTTTTTCCAGAATTTCCGCTTGTCTAGTTCAATGACAATTATTGTTAAATTGAAAATAAATTTGAAATTATCGTTAATTTTCTATTTTATATAAAAAAAATTGTTTCTCTTTTTTGAAATTTAAAAAAAATTACATTTATTAATAAAATAATAATAATAATAATTTTTAAACTAATAAATATTTATAAATAAAAAATTTAAAAAAAAATAAAAACACAAAAAAAATTAAAAAAATAAAATAAAAAAATAAAATAAATAATTGATTTATTAAATAATTTTGTCTATTATTATTTATTATGTAACCAATGATTTTTAATGATGAAGAATGTTAAAACAAAATCATAATTTATTAAACCAAAGTTACAAAGGGAAGACTCGAATAAATTGTTTGTTGGACAAAAATAAAAATAAATAAATAATCAAGAGACAAAAGAATAAAATTAATTAAATAGAATAAATAAATTTTTCTTTAATCGTTGAATTAATCTGGAAAAATAAACAAGGCCACCAGGCAAACTATTATATTCCTGACGGATTGTATGATGCGAATGCTCCACGAAATTAACGAAGCATTCGTTATATATAGTTAAATGATTAAAACAATAAGATTTATGTTTTTATGATGATCATTGTTAAATCATTATAAAAATTTTATGTTTTTATTAATTTCAAACTATTACAGTTTATTATTAACATCTTTCGATAAAATCAACAAAGCCGCTCTTTTTAGAAGGTAGGTGGCAACACTCTTATTTTCCTTTCCTTAAATTTTTCCAGTAATTTTTATCTCGCAAAGTTAATTCTCCGAAAATTTTTCCCACAATTTCTTGAGTGTAGCTCAGCATCCGCTGGACCAATCAAAAAGTGCGCCATACATTTTTTGTTCGCTACTTTTTGCTAAAGAATTTGGCGGTATTCCCGATCAATTATCTCTCGAATTTAATTTTTCGAAAATTTTTCCAATATCTTTTTGAGTGTAGCTCAGCATCCGCTGGACCAATCAAAAAGTGCGCTATACATTTTTTGTTCAGAACTTTCTTCTAATCACTATGGCGGTATTCCCGAACGATTATCTCGCGAATTTAATTTTCCGAAAATTTTTCCGAATTTATTTTCTAGTTTAGCTCAGCATCCCCTGGACCAACCAAAAAGTGCGCCATACATGTTTTGTTCGCTACTTTTTGCTAAAGAATTTGGCGGTATTCCCGATCAATTATCTCTCGAATTTAATTTATCGAAAATTTTTCCAATATCTTTTTGAGTGTAGCTCAGCATCCGCTGGACCAATCAAAAAGTGCGCTATACATTTTTTGTTCAGAACTTTCTTCTAATCACTATGGCGGTATTCCCGAACGATTATCTCGCGAATTTAATTTTCCGAAAATTTTTCCAAAATCTTTTTGAGTGTAGCTCAGCATCCGCTGGACCAATCAAAAAGTGCGCTATACATTTTTTGTTCAGAACTTTCTTCTAATCACTATGGCGGTATTCCCGAACGATTATCTCGCGAATTTAATTTTCCGAAAATTTTTCCGAATTTATTTTCTAGTTTAGCTCAGCATCCCCTGGACCAACCAAAAAGTGCGCCATACATGTTTTGTTCGCTACTTTTTGCTAAAGAATTTGGCGGTATTCCCGATCAATTATCTCTCGAATTTAATTTTTCGAAAATTTTTCCAAAATCTTTTTGAGTGTAGCTCAGCATCCGCTGGACCAATCAAAAAGTGCGCCATACATTTTTTGTTCGAAACTTTTTCCCTATTTTATTAGCGGTATTCCCGAACGATTATCTCGCGAATTTAATTTTTCGAAAATTTTTCCAAAATCTTTTTGAGTGTAGCTCAGCATCCGCTGGACCAATCAAAAAGTGCGCTATACATTTTTTGTTCAGAACTTTCTTCTAATCACTATGGCGGTATTCTTGAACGATTATCTCGCGAATTTTATTTTTCGAAAATTTTTCCAAAATCTTTTTGAGTGTAGCTCAGCATCCGCTGGACCAATCAAAAAGTGCGCTATACATTTTTTGTTCAGAACTTTCTTCTAATCACTATGGCGGTATTCCCGAACGATTATCTCGCGAATTTAAGTTTCCGAAAATTTTTCCGAATTTATTTTCTAGTTTAGCTCAGCATCCCCTGGACCAACCAAAAAGTGCGCCATACATGTTTTGTTCGCTACTTTTTGCTAAAGAATTTGGCGGTATTCCCGATCAATTATCTCTCGAATTTAATTTTTCGAAAATTTTTCCAAAATCTTTTTGAGTGTAGCTCAGCATCCGCTGGACCAATCAAAAAGTGCGCCATACATTTTTTGTTCGAAACTTTTTCCCTATTTTATTGGCGGTATTCCCGAACGATTATCTCGCGAATTTAATTTTTCGAAAATTTTTCCAAAATCTTTTTGAGTGTAGCTCAGCATCCGCTGGACCAATCAAAAAGTGCGCCATACATTTTTTGTTCGAAACTTTTTCCCTATTTTATTAGCGGTATTCCCGAACGATTATCTCGCGAATTTAATTTTTCGAAAATTTTTCCAAAATCTTTTTGAGTGTAGCTCAGCATCCGCTGGACCAATCAAAAAGTGCGCTATACATTTTTTGTTCAGAACTTTCTTCTAATCACTATGGCGGTATTCCCGAACGATTATCTCGCGAATTTAATTTTCCGAAAATTTTTCCGAATTTATTTTCTAGTTTAGCTCAGCATCCCCTGGACCAACCAAAAAGTGCGCTATACATGTTTTGTTCGCTACTTTTTGCTAAAGAATTTGGCGGTATTCCCGATCAATTATCTCTCGAATTTAATTTTTCGAAAATTTTTCCAAAATCTTTTTGAGTGTAGCTCAGCATCCGCTGGACCAATCAAAAAGTGCGCCATACATTTTTTGTTCGAAACTTTTTCCCTATTTTATTAGCGGTATTCCCGAACGATTATCTCGCGAATTTAATTTTTCGAAAATTTTTCCAAAATCTTTTTGAGTGTAGCTCAGCATCCGCTGGACCAATCAAAAAGTGCGCTATACATTTTTTGTTCAGAACTTTCTTCTAATCACTATGGCGGTATTCTTGAACGATTATCTCGCGAATTTTATTTTTCGAAAATTTTTCCAAAATCTTTTTGAGTGTAGCTCAGCATCCGCTGGACCAATCAAAAAGTGCGCTATACATTTTTTGTTCAGAACTTTCTTCTAATCACTATGGCGGTATTCCCGAACGATTATCTCGCGAATTTAATTTTCCGAAAATTTTTCCGAATTTATTTTCTAGTTTAGCTCAGCATCCCCTGGACCAACCAAAAAGTGCGCCATACATGTTTTGTTCGCTACTTTTTGCTAAAGAATTTGGCGGTATTCCCGATCAATTATCTCTCGAATTTAATTTTTCGAAAATTTTTCCAAAATCTTTTTGAGTGTAGCTCAGCATCCGCTGGACCAATCAAAAAGTGCGCTATACATTTTTTGTTCAGAACTTTCTTCTAATCACTATGGCGGTATTCCCGAACGATTATCTCGCGAATTTAATTTTCCGAAAATTTTTCCGAATTTATTTTCTAGTTTAGCTCAGCATCCCCTGGACCAACCAAAAAGTGCGCCATACATGTTTTGTTCGCTACTTTTTGCTAAAGAATTTGGCGGTATTCCCGATCAATTATCTCTCGAATTTAATTTTTCGAAAATTTTTCCAAAATCTTTTTGAGTGTAGCTCAGCATCCGCTGGACCAATCAAAAAGTGCGCCATACATTTTTTGTTCGAAACTTTTTCCCTATTTTATTGGCGGTATTCCTGAACGATTATCTCGCGAATTTAATTTTTCGAAAATTTTTCCAAAATCTTTTTGAGTGTAGCTCAGCATCCGCTGGACCAATCAAAAAGTGCGCCATACATTTTTTGTTCGAAACTTTTTCCCTATTTTATTGGCGGTATTCCCGAACGATTATCTCGCGAATTTAATTTTCCGAAAATTTTTCCGAATATATTTTCTAGTTTAGCTCAGCATCCGCTGGACCAATCAAAAAGTGCGCCATACATTTTTTGTTCGAAACTTTTTCCCTATTTTATTGGCGGTATTCCCGAACGATTATCTCGCGAATTTAATTTTCCGAAAATTTTCCAAAATCTTTTTGAGTGTAGCTCAGCATCCGCTGGACCAATCAAAAAGTGCGCCATACATTTTTTGTTCGAAACTTTTTCCCTATTTTATTAGCGGTATTCCCGAACGATTATCTCGCGAATTTAATTTTTCGAAAATTTTTCCAAAATCTTTTTGAGTGTAGCTCAGCATCCGCTGGACCAATCAAAAAGTGCGCTATACATTTTTTGTTCAGAACTTTCTTCTAATCACTATGGCGGTATTCTTGAACGATTATCTCGCGAATTTTATTTTTCGAAAATTTTTCCAAAATCTTTTTGAGTGTAGCTCAGCATCCGCTGGACCAATCAAAAAGTGCGCTATACATTTTTTGTTCAGAACTTTCTTCTAATCACTATGGCGGTATTCCCGAACGATTATCTCGCGAATTTAATTTTCCGAAAATTTTTCCGAATTTATTTTCTAGTTTAGCTCAGCATCCCCTGGACCAACCAAAAAGTGCGCCATACATGTTTTGTTCGCTACTTTTTGCTAAAGAATTTGGCGGTATTCCCGATCAATTATCTCTCGAATTTAATTTTTCGAAAATTTTTCCAAAATCTTTTTGAGTGTAGCTCAGCATCCGCTGGACCAATCAAAAAGTGCGCCATACATTTTTTGTTCGAAACTTTTTCCCTATTTTATTAGCGGTATTCCCGAACGATTATCTCGCGAATTTAATTTTTCGAAAATTTTTCCAAAA